TGCCACATCCACACATCTTCTGAACACCTCCAGGAGTGGTGACTCCACCACTTCCCACATGTGCCAGCCCAGTTGGTTTCCCCCCAGCACTCCCACCCCTGGAGCTGGGCCTCAGCATCCCTCCCGCTCCCACCCAGCTGAGCTGGTGCATCACTTTGGAGAGAGAGAGAGAGAACAAGTGGTCCCAGGGGCTGCAATCATTAATCCGGGCCTGTCAGCACTAAACAAGAAACAATTAAAAGTTTTCAAGCAGACAGAGCTCAGCTTTTTAATCCCACAATTACAACCAGCAGCGAGAATATCAAACCATTTGCTGAAGGTGCAGAGAAGGGGGGTGTGACAATCCTCATGGCTACTCCCAAGAGATGCAAGGGTATCCCAAGGGGGGTGGGGAGGTGACAAGATCCCAGCACTCCACGTGACAGGGGGGATGGTGGCCCAGGGGATGTTGTCTGTGGGGACTGGGAGGTGTTGAGAACCACGACGGTGGGTCCTTACTGGTGTCACTGGGCAGAGCAAATCTCCATCCTGCTCTGCCCTGATCTGAAGGATCCAGTGAAAGAATACACATTCTCTTCAGCAAAGAGGCTGCTGTTAACTGCCTGAACACACCTAGGAATATTCCTACTCACTTCTGTGAAGTTCCCACATTCCCAAAGCACAAGGGAAGAACGTTCTCAAAGCAGAGGGTTTGCCATGAAACCAGTTCCCCGGGCCCATGTCTTTGAAGACACGGGAGCAGCTGATTCCCAGTGGATACAGGAGGGATGAGAATCCAACCCGAAGCATCTAGGCCAGATTTTTGTTAGAAAAACACCATTTCTTTCCTAAATTTCCTGCTAATATTCCCCCCTCCTCCCTCTGAGCACACACACGTGCTCTTTCTAAGAGAATCCTAACGCTTGCAGTCTGTCATTCAACGGGGAAAAAAATAGCAAGAGCCAAGTACAGGGATGAATAAAATTATCCCCGCGCATATAAATGTGCAATATGTAAATGAACACTCCTTCCTGAGCAGGAGGAGGAGGAGTGGGGTGCGGCACAGGGCTTTGTGTGAGCCCTCTGCACGTGCTGGGTTCCACAGGAACAGGAGAAACCGTGAGGAGCCGAGTTTTTTCAGCCCAATATCTCATTTATTAACCTAACAGGAGTATTTTGGCACCGATTCATGAAAGCACTTAGAGACATTCATCCCTAAGCACCCCTCCTGGAAAGCAATCCCTGTCCTCCAGGCAGGTACACAGCATTATTTTCAATGCAGCCATGGCTTTGAGGAAGCAATAACACACTTTTCATGTATGGGAGCACATTTAACCCCATTGTTTCGAAAGCAGTTGCTCTCTGTGCAACAAACACGGCAACTTTTAAGTGCTAATTTTCTCCCAGACAACAAACAAAATGGTGTCTTCACTTACTTATCCTGGGCTGGGGGGGTGGGGGTTTTGCTTTCTTTTTATTATGTGTTTTTCACATTACACTTGCTAATAAAGCCACCGTTGTAAAAAAAAAAAAATATTGAACAACAGAAATTGAGGTTAAATGTGCTGATTTTAAATATGTTCTCAGCCAGTGCTAAACAAGAGGTGACACAGGCAGGAGAGGAGAGCTGATTACTTATGCTGACTATTACTTCACCCCTCAGAGCCACAATGACCTGAGTTTTCTTAATCACCAGACTATTCAGCAGAGTGGAAATTGCACCCACATGGAATATTTATCACCCTCTGAATCCAGCCAAGTCTCCATACCCAGCAAACCCAGATACCAACATGTGAGTGACCTCAGCTCCTCTGGACAGAAAACCAACACCCGTGGAAAGTGTTCCTGTGGCTTTTTACCAAACCCAGACATTTTAACTGCTTTAACTTCTTGGATGGAAAGCTGACTCGGTTACCAATCAGCCAGGTTAAGAACTTTAAAAGTGTATATTATCATAGAATCATGGAATGGTTTGGGTTGGAAGGGAGCTTAAAGATCATCCAGTGCCACCCCCTGCCGTGGGCAGGGACACCTTCCACCAGACCAGGTTGCTCCAAGCCCCGTCCAACCTGGCCTTGGACACTTCCAGGGATCCAGGGGCAGCCACAGCTTCTCTGGGCAACCTGTGCCAGGGCCTCCCCACCCTCCCAGGGAACAATTCCTTCCTTATATCTAACCTAAATTTCCCCTTTTCCAGTTTTAACTCATTCCCGCTTATCCTGTCATTATAGTTCCTGAGGAAGCCCTGTCTGGCTTCTCTGTATCCCCTTCAGATTCTGTCAGGCTGCTGCAAATATCTGGTAAATGGTCTCAGGAATTAAAGCTTTAGGGAAAAAAAAATAATGTAAGAGACAATGAAGATTTTTATGCAGCAAACAGTCCCATCCTCTCCCCAGCCCCTCTGCAGATATGGAATTATGACAGGAATGGGGCAGTGCCACACAAAAGTCTGGAAGGAGCAAACAGCATGAAAAGCCCCTACAATTGGATAATTTCTCAACAATTTTCCATGCTCTGAAGGTCCCTTTGAAAAATCCATGTGGCAACTGTCAGGCAGACAAAAGCCTCTCTTTGTAACTTCAGTCTCCCAGAATCACCCTCATCCCTTCTCCGACAGAAATCACTGCTCTTATTGTGTAGGATTAACCACTGGGCAGCAGAATGAGACACAGGAGAGGAGGAAACCACCAGAGAATCACAGAAACACGGAATATCCGGAGCTGGAAGGGACCCACAAGGATCCTGACAGCCAGTGAGCCTGTGAGCCTGTGCATTCACTGTTCAGCTCCTGGTGCCTGATTTTTATCTGAAAGCTCCCCCAGTCACATGAAGATTTTTGAATCAAGTTGCTTATCAATCCTGCCAGGTTTGGAGTGTGCTGTGATAGCATTTACCAGGCTGCTGTAAAATCAGGGAGGGTTATTGGGTGAAACTGGGGAGAAACACATCAAAAAATAGATCAAGCTGTGAAGTTGTCTTCACAAATCTAATATTAACTCCTAATTTTCTTTATTTTTTTTCTATCATGCTGGTATATTGATGAATAAAACTGAGGAGGGTCTTTATATAAACTGGCAGTCAACGTCCCCTAGCAAAAAATAACCCCCCAACTTTTTATCTGTTGATAAATGTCATTCCCCAGCCACCTTGTCCAACGGCATGAAGTTGTGTCAGGGGAGGGTTGGGATGGATCTCAGGGAAAGGTCCTTCCCCCAGAGGGTGGTTGGCACTGCCCAGGCTCCCCAGGGCAGTGGGCACGGCCCCAAGGCTGCCAGAGCTCCAGGAGGGTTTGGACAATGCTCTGAGGGACAGGGGGGGATTGTTGGGGAGTCTGTGCAGGGCCAGGGGTTGGATCAATGATTCATTGTGGGTCCTTTCCAACTCAGGATACTCTATGATTCTTTCTGCTGCTGAGGGATATTTCTGCTTTCTAAATCTCTCAGATTAGTAGTAAATAAGAGACAGACCATAAGGAATAGTTGAGGAAACGTGATAAATACTCTGAATAACAAAGAGCAGAAGTGCTGCTTTCCCCGCTCCTTTCCACGTCACCCTATGAAAGCAAACAAATTCCTATCATGACTGCAGAAGGGTGGAAAATAAACTCCTTCCTTTTACAATATCAACAGCAAATTAAACTAATAATTTTAAAAATCTACTCCACCAATGCAGGGAAACACCCCCTGAATTCCAAGTGCACGGGGAGCTCTGCCGGAGTCATCGAGACCTGGACGTGCAGAGCATGAGCAGGGGTTTGGCTGGTACAGGCCTGGGTGCAGCTGGAACAGGGGATTTCAAACAGATGGAAAAGGGAAAGTATGCAAGCAGGAGACAGATGGAGTCACCTTCCCAATGCATATCCAGTGGAGTTTCGTGTGTGACCCCAAAATGGAGCTCTGAACAAAAGTGGGAGCCTGCACTTTTCTTCTCTTGCTTCTGGGCAATAACAGTTCTCAGCATTTTATGGACACCATCCTGGTTTGTCCCCAACCTTTCCAGGCCTACATCTCGCAGCATGTCATTCCCAAATCTCCCTGACAGAGGAATGTTTCACCAGGTGAACACCTGCAGCTCTATCCTACCCCACGGGAGGGTGAGCACAGGCTCCAGGGAGCTGCCCAACCCCTGAGGTTTGGAGGAATCCTCATCCCTCTCCTTGAATTACCACCTGCAAAAGCCACTGCTGGAATTCCAGGTCTTTTGAGGAACTACTGGGATGCTCCAAAGAGCTGCCCTGCCCAATCATGGAATTGTGACTGTCACAACTCAGAATCTCTCCCTCTTGTTCCCAATTTCTCCTTTCAACAGAGAGCAGGGAAAACAAAAGGCACCACGTGTATCAGAGCTCCCTTGTAGGTCAGATTATAGACAGTAAAAATGCTTTTTGGAGGTTTCCCTCAGTACAAGCACAGGACACTGGCTGCTTTTTCTTAAAGGTGGGCACAGAGTGGGGTCAGATTTTAGGCAAAACACAAGTTTTTCAAACTGTTACCAGTAGAAACACTTTTTTTCAGGCTTTTATATGGATGTTGAACTCCAAGTGCTTTTGAAAATCCAACTACTTCACCATCTCTAGGTGTTCAAACCACAATCCCAGCAAATCAGATAAACAAAACAGTTTAAAAATATGCATGAATTACCAAAAAAAAAAGTCACTTTGCTGTAGAAGTTTATCATTTTTCTGATGTGCTCTTGGCATTCAAAATTTAAGCATCGAGTTCTTTGAAATTACTGTAACACTTCCCCTGTGCAAAAACCACAACACAAAGCTGAACTAAAACACACCGAGAAATTTCTCAGAAAAACTAAGAGAACATTTGTAAACCAGAGAGATCTTTTTTCAGAACAGAAAGATTTCTCTGTCGGCACGAAATCCAATCCATCCCTGGGTTTGACCAAAGCAGCTGCTTTAACAAACGAGGGAATGACTTGGACACAGAAGCCCTTCAAAGCCTTTTTTCTTACAGATTTTTGCACCAATGGACCTTAAAAGCCCCAGTGAAGTTTATTAAAGTCCTTACCAGTTAACTTCTTCACAGGTTGGAGCCGAACACTGATAGACTGATGTGTGAGTAAGGGGGAGGATGGAAGGGAGCGGGACATGCCCTCCATAATCCGAATGTGCTGCATACCTTCGGTCACTGGGAGAGGAGGAATTGCGTAGTCGGGTTCAAAAGCACAGTCGTTCTCTGTGGAGGTGCCTGGAGGGGAGAGAAAAACCAAAATGAACAGGTTAGAAAGAGAGCAAGGGAGAGGATCCTGCTTTGTCATTCCAAGACAGGCACTGGCACGGGGGGAGCCCCGCTCGCCCGTGCTCCTCCTGAACAGTGTTGACACCTCCCTTAAAGAAATTGCACTTTGGAACAGCATCTCCGCACCCCTCTCTACAAGATGAACAGCAGAACCATGAAGAATTTCTTTCAATATTCTTAATTTGTCTGTCAGAGTCTGAGAGTCGCCAGTTTCCAACACAGCGATTGTCACCAAACTGGTGGTTTTTAGATTGTGGGTTTCTAATAAAAGACTCTTCCAGTTGAACTGAATTTCAACATGAGGATCTTTAGCCCCCCAAAATTCCCAACCCCCAAATAAAATGGACGAACAAAAGCCTCCAACAACAAGCACCAGCTCCAACTCTCCCCAGAGACACACAAAGCCCGTGTGGGGGTCGCATCACTGAAGATCCACATGTAAGACACAAAATAACACACAAACAAGTGGAGATAGAACAATAAAAGCACATATTGCTAATTGGTGCAATCAATATTAATGACAAATGAAGGGCAGGTGCTCCAGATCAGCAAGAGTCAGGAGCCAGAAGGTTCCTCCCATTAGCTGCAGATATGGAAACCTCGGGGTCAAGGACACCTGGATCTCCACCTCTCGTCAGTAAGATGAACCACCTAACCCAGACTACTCATAATTCGTCTGCAAAACCAACCTGAAACTGTTAACATGAATATTTCATCACTAATAATGTGAGAAGGCCACATTTCTGCCACACTGTTACGAGATGGATTTTGGCTTTTAGTGCCCGCTGATGTTTTCCCTCCATAAAGATGTTCCTTATTGGATTTCCACTGGATAGCTGTGCTGTTCTCAATGGCTAGTGAGAATATGTTTACAAGAGAAAATGTAACTGCTGGACAGAAGAGGAGACAGACAAAAGTGGGGAGAAGACAAAAGGGCAGTGCCTCAAACACATGGTGCTCCAGAGGAGACAATGGACTCGCTGCATTCCCGATATCCAAAGGACAACGTGAACAATCCAACATATTGTTGGAAAAACCCACATGGAAATAACTGCCAAAAATCTTGGACTGGTTCCTGAAGGGTTCTGGGAGGTTGAAGCACCAGTGGCTGAGATCCATCCATTCCAGATGCCAACTTTCAGGAACATCTCTCGGCGGTTTTGTACCATCCTTTACGGGAAACGCGAACAAGCACTAACACCCTTCACACACACACTGCTTTTGACAGTTCCAAACACAGCTCTCACCCTCTGCTCTCTGAACCCTCTCAGATGCCACGAGCTGAACCTGCTGCTGACTCTGCCAGCCCGGTCAGGCTCCCTGGGAGCTCCAGGGAAGACAAACCACCACTGCTGCCAAAACCGGCGCCAACAAAACCAGCCTACAGAGGGTTTTCAAAATGCATTTGTTGGCACCAGGCATGAAAAAAAAACATTTGCCACCACTGATTTTGATTCTTAAAAACAGTCTGAATTGTCTCAGGCCTGATTTTAGGGAACAATAAACCAGGGGCATCTCCTGCAGCTCAAGGTCTGGGAAAGACCTCCAAGTCCATGTGTTTTACTGGTTATTATGGTGTAAGCTCCCAGTGTCTTTCATCAATCTGCCTAAAATCAAGGGCAGTATTTTATACAGAAATAAAGGAATTATTGGTAAAGTGTTCAGTAGCATTTCCCCTCTTAAAATTCAAATGCTTTACAACAAAACAGCGAACTCGCAAAACTCCCACAAGGTACCACTTTCATTCACAGATGTCAAAATTTCTCTCACCCCTTGGAAGAGTAAATGAACACACACACAAGGTCACTGAAACAGTCTGAAATTTGTTTTGGTAAGAAAGAACATTGGGTTTAACAAACCCTGGAATTAGGGATCATTCATGGCTGAACTGGAACTTGGACAGTTTGCTTACGGAATATACTTAAATAGAATGTTCCTGCAAAGTGCATATTTGAACTAATTAACTATTTCTTGGAGTTTTACAAGATAATCACAGAACTGTTCAGGTTGGAAAAGACCTTTAAGACCATCAAGTCCAACCATCAACCAGCACCACCACCATGTTCACCACAAAACTGTGTCAAGTCCCACACCCGCACATTTTTCAAACACTTCCAGGGATGGTGACTCCACTGCTTCCCTGGTCAGCCTGTGCCAGGGCTGGACAACCCTTTCCAGGAGAAAAATGTTCTTAATATTCATCCTAAACTCCCCTGGCACAACTTGAGGCTGTTTCCTCTTGTCCTGCCAACGAAGCTTTGCAGACACTGTGACACTTAGAGTATCGTGTGGCCAACGTGGGAGGTGGAAGAACAAGAAGACAACTGCCCCATTTCAGCTGGATGCTTCACACAAGGATAATAAACCCTCTTAAACCCACCAGCATGAAAAATACCCGTTAACACGTGCAGACAGATTGCAAGTGATGGGGACAGAGCAGGGCAAAGTTAAAAGATAATATTTTATGGAGCAAGGAGACTCCTTCCACACTGCAGAAAGTCTGCATCTACAACTGCACCCACTGATGCAAAGGGAAACATTTAGCTCAGAAGCTTGTTTCTCCAAGAAGTTGGAAGCTTTTTTGACCTTTTCCCCTTTTTTCCCCTCTTATGGTGACACTCCTTGCTAGTTCCTGCAGTTCCTTGACCCACTGAACAGGAACAGGTTGGTGATTCTTGGACAAGGATTTGCAACAAATCCCCACATCCTCTGCCCAAACTCGCCCCTTTCCCACGGCAGGGAAGATCCTGAATATCCAGGCTGAAAGGGAACCTGAGAGAGCAGAGTGTGTGCAAGGAGTGTTGGAGGCAGCTCCCAGCAGCAACTCAGCTGCTCTGCTCCATAACAAGAAACCACGTGGGCCAGACACAGGGAAGGACATCCCAGGGAGCCACGGCAGAGGAAGGCTCAGCTTCCAGCAGGAACACAACAGCAACTTTATGGGAGCTCAGAATACGTGGGGAAGAGCAATATCAGGGTTCATTCTGCACCCTGAAACACAGCTCCTTGTACGCAGGTGGCCACAGGGTTTGCGCAGCTACAAAGTCCCTGGCTCCTTCCTCATTTTATTTTCACTCTATTTTAAAAGCAGGAAATTCAAAATAACGAATTTAAAACCAGTAATTAAAAGATCCTATGTGAGCAGAGCAGCTGACACCTCACAGGGCCTCAGGGTTTTTTTAACTCCCCAGTTCTGATCGTAGCTTCACTCACTCATTTTGCCCGGGCACTACTGGAATACTGCCAAAAAAGAACAATGCTCTGGAGAAAAGGCTTCCATAATAAGTCATTAGGACACCATGACAACAACAGGCTTGAACCTAAATGAAAGGAAAATTATTGCTGCGATCCCAAAGAGAAAGTAAGTCAATGCACGTAGCACCTACCAGAGCCCTGCTTCCCAAAAATGCTGCTCAGCCTCAAAGCCATGTGAAAATCCAGCATTTGCACAATCCTCACAAATGAGAAAATGCTTAAAACTAAGTAAAGCTGTTTCAAAGGACACCTAAGCCAGCAGAGATCTAAGAGCTGGTGCTGTCAGGGACAGAAATCCCCATTACATGGCTTTGTGTGCTGTTAACCACCAAACCTACTCTGAGGGATGGATACTCGACAAAGAGTTTGTACAACTGTTATTTCAGTAATATAAATCCTATTTTTAGTACTGTCTTCCTCAGACCTTTTGCCCTGTTCCTGCAGGATGAAGGAAAGCAAAGCTGGAGATGTAACACGGGGTTGCTCAGCCCCCAGGCAGGTACACACAGGTCCTTCTCCATCCCATCCCGGGGTTTGGAGAGGGATGATCCGGTTATGGAGAACCTGCCGGGTTCCCACTTTGCCATCGGGGGGAAGGCGAGTGGAAACTTGGAAACTAAGCGTTGGTTTGGGCTGGTAAGAGCTGAAGAACTCCAGCAGCACCAGCTCCAGCGTGTAACTCCCCAGCTGGAATACGGAGACACCGCGCTCTGGAGTGCGGACTCTGCAGGTCCACCCGTGCCGAGCCAGGAGGAATTCGGGTAAACCCCTTCAACCACACAAAGGCTGTCTGGGTTTGGGAATGCCAGCACGTTTGGGGGCAACAACAGCGGGTACAAAGCCCTCCAGATCACACAGTTTTACGAGAAACACAACACGTGGGAGGCACCGACGGCGAACACACGAGACGAGTCCCCGAGGCAGAAGAACACTCAGGTTTACCTTGCCCAGCTCGGCTCTGACGGGAGTCTACACTTGCCTGTCTTCGGTCTGGTGGCTCCTCGTTCCCTCCATCTGCATGAGAACCAAAACAGCACAAGTAGAACATCATAGTGGACAGGTCAGGCAGATGCAACTTTTCCTTGAGTCCCATCACCTATCTCAAGGGGGAGGAGGGCAGGACAAAAGGTCCCTCTGGCAGACTGGAACCGGGGAAAGCGCCGCCCGGCTCTGCTGCTCCTTCCAGCTTCTCCCCAGCTCACTGCACGTGGAATCCGTGAGGCCCTCGGGATAGGAGGAGGATTTTAATTGCTCCTACTGACCCCCCGGGACATTTGAATGAAATAAGAACCAAATTGTGCATCTTCTCAACAAAAATTGTGCGTCTTCAACGAGCTCCTCCACTCTGGACCATTATCTCAAAGTATAAAAATATTGAGCATTGGAATAAATAATTGAACTATGAAATTTGAAACTGTGTCCCTCTAAAATTATTTGTCAGCTAAAAGCTGGGAAGGCTGGGAAGAACAAAGTCACTGGTTACATCCTCTCAAAACTCTTTAGGGAAAGCAGCTACAGTTCACAAATCCCAAATCCATCTGGATAAATGCAGAGTGGGACCTTGTGTACAATATTATACAATTAATTAACAGGCTGCTCTTCATTGATCAACTGACCAGATTAGAAACAATAGATTCACCCATCAATACAGATGCTCGAGTTCATGGGATTTCTGGCAGCTGGGAGCACAAAGAAGCCCAGCTCTGCACAGTGGGAAGCAGCAAACCCAGGGGTTTCAAGTGCAGGATGTATTTCAGTGGTTCTTACCCCTTAGGGCAGGGGAAGGGGAAGCTTTTGGAACCTTTAAAAATAGTTTTGATATAAATGAATTCTTAAATAGCTGTTTAAAACCTCAACAGTTGGGTTTAGCACTGAAACTTTCCGATGCTACTAAAAGCAGCTGCACTCTGATATATTTATAACTCTGGATATCTCTAAAGAAGTTATTTGTTGGAGGGTCCTGCTGTGCCATAAAGTAATTTATCAACTCCTATTACATGGGAGTTCTGTCTGGCTTAAAGGGAAGTTGTGAATTGCAGCACAAGAGCAGAACTGATACGGGGACCAAAAATTTCAGTCTACTCCCACCCCCATCCCCCCCCCAAAAAAGTAGGATCTCAGCCCAGGCTGGAGGAGGTTTTTTGTTTCCTCTTCCCTTCCCAGCCCTCAGTTTCCCTGAAGCCCTGCTCAGGCACCTTGAACAGGTGCCAGCAAGGCCATTTTCTGTCACCTTTGCATCTTTCCCTGCTGACAAAGCAGCTGCACGTGAAGGTCACTCAGCTACAGCAACCCCGAGTATCAATTTATACCAACTGCTCCCTCCCCCATAAGGCATCGACTGCCAGGTGTCAGGGGGGCCACAGGCCAGGACACCTCCCCTGCTCCCTTTTCCATTCTGGATGTGACACTGCAACCACCACTGCAAGTGGGATGTGTCCCACAGGAGCTTTTATTAGCCTGGAGAGACCCTCTTGGGATTAGCTGCACTGAGCCTTCCTACAGAGAGCAGCACTGGCAGAGCCCTGTCTCTGGATCTGCACTGGTAACACCCAGCACTGGTTTGGACAGTGCCATGCACAGAGGTCACATCACCATCATCACCATCATCCTCATCACTAAATGCCCACAGCTGCAAACTCCCATGGTCAACCTCTAAGCCGTGGAGAAAACAAAAACCTCTGAGCTCCGAACACAAATCCAAATGCAAAATAATTAAAAGGACTGAACGCTGCAAAATAAGACAAAGTCCCAACATTAAAATCAGGAGTAAAACCCTGTATTTGTCCAAAGCCACCTGATCATCAGCAAAAGACAAACTTCATCCCTGAAAGCTCCCCCCATCCCTGGAAGTGTCCAAGGCCAGGTTGGACGGGGCTTGGAGCAACCTGGGCTAGTGGAAGGTGTCCCTGCCCATGGCAGGGGGTGGAATGGGATAAGCTTTAAGGTCCCTTCCAACCCAACCCAGTCTGGGATCTCTGATGATTCTGTGAATCAATCTCTTTGATCACCTGGAGAGGAAACACTTCTCCTGTACCATCACCTGGGTGTGTCAAACCCAGCCCTGAGAACTGGCCAAGGCAGAGGCCTGGGGGCACCAGACACGGGGTACAACAGGGAACCCCCTTCCAAACCTCCCAGAGCAGAACCAAGACATCTCACTCCTCCCCTATTTGACCTGAGAAAACCAAATGAGCCAACACAGAGGAACCCAAAGGAGATGGGGATGAGAAGATCATCCAACCCTTTGTAGCGCAAGACGACGGCACACACTCATCCTTGCTGGTCTGCAATTTTCCCGGGATAAACATGATTTTTCCTTGCAGAATAGTGGTTTATTCAACTTCCACGTGGGATCCGGGCCAGGAATAACAGAGTGGAAGGTGGGTTTGGGCAGCAGCTGCTCCCCAATGTGCTCCAACACTCAATTGGTGGGACAGAGAATGGTGACAATGCTCTGCCAAAGCCATCGGGGTGGGGAAGAGGAGGAGGAGCTGCTCAGGAGCCAGAGTCTGGGACAGATCTCAGCAAGTTACACCATGTACGAAGGGGGAGAGAAAGCTCACAGCAAATTAACTTCCAGAACGAATTTAGGAGGGTGGGAAAGGTAAAAATAAACCAGATGACTCAGCAGATATTAAATCTTCAGTCGACTCACGGGCGCTGCTGCATCTGGTGTGGCTGCAGCAGAGGAGGAGTTTGGGGGAAACCCAGCCCTGGGGGGCTCATCCTCATCCAGTGGCTTCTAAGGAATATTTTAAGAACTCCCCCAGCCAGTGTGTAGCTCTCCTTGTGACAGAGATCCAGCAGTGCAGGTTGGGCAAACCCAGGGGTTCATTGTAACCCAGGTAAGGCTGGTTTGGGAAGCCCTTTGCCCTCTGCCCATGGACCACCAACCCTCCCACCTGCCCTGCCCTGCCCATGCAAGTAAAACCAGTGGAAAACACGGAGCATCCTGCAGCAGATCCAGGCAGGAGGGGTCCTCCAGGGCAGGAAAGAGGAAATGAAAATACTTGGAATAAAATATGAAAAAAATACAAACAAATCAATGCCAGGGAGTGGAGAAGCCTGGCACCTGCAGAATTAACAAGTATGGTGAGAGGCACAGAGGCTGCAGGACAGGAAGGAACAGCCACGGTTGAGAGCTGAACAACTGAACTATTTAATTTTTTTCCTCTCTTTGCTACAAATCAGAACGTTGAGCACACTCAGCTCCTGGCAGTGGAGGATCAAGGTTACCAGGGAACAACAGCACACATAATTAAGGAGTTATCTTCAAGCAGATGCAAAAAAAAGGGGAAATTACTGTTGCTAAGGGAATATTAATTCTCACGTTTTTCAACCTCTCAAGTGCTCGAATTTACAGTGTTGATAAAGTCCATCTCTGTGTGCACATCAGGGCTCTGTCACTCCAACAACACTCCCAGTTATTTTATTTATGCACGATTTTCGGCAGTTGTTAGTATTTGCATCAGCAATAACTATTATTTATAGACATGACCTACTATCTGGACAACACTTTGGGGACAGTATCACTCGTGGAGTTCAATCAACTCAGTTGCTGTAACGATTGTGAACGGGGTGAAACACCAGAGTTATCGACAACCCCCCCTCATGCAACAGCTAAAAGAGGTCACCAGCAGCAAATCATTGCTGTGAAATCATTGCTGGAGAACACAGCTGTCTGTGTTAATTTAAAATAAAGATCAGAACAGACCCTGGTTAAGGAGCTTCTACAGAAGTTGTAATGAGAAACAGAAAACAGATATTCTTCACAAATGCCACAAGGGAAGTGAATAATATAGTAAATATTATATAGTAAATAGTAAATACTGATTCAGTAATCTATATTCTCTTGCACCTTGCCAGGAGAGGCAGGAAAACTTCTGTGATGTTTTGGTTTTTTTTAAAATCTCAGTTTTAAGTCCATTAAGACTCACACATTATTTTAATTTCCAAAAGATGCTGTCTCATCAGTGTCCAGCATTCCTGCAGCTGGGATGTTGGAACCTGGGGTCAGAAACCCAAAGAGTGCCTGGTTCTGTGGCAAGCACAGAGTAAACAGTCATGGCTATTAACCCTTTCCCTCAGTTCCAGAGGTTAAGGAAGCTCAAGGATCATGGTTAGCCACAGGTTCAGCAGAGCAGCCTCTCCTACTGTAACCAGGTCTTAGGAATGCTCCTGCTTCCCCTTCTCCCCCATCCCCATCCCACAGTCCACTAAAACCAGTGACACAAAAAACCCTCCCAATACACACAACAACCGGATTCTTTGAACGGGAAAAGCCAATCCCAAGGGTTTCAGCATTCCTAAACAAAACCACTGCACAAAACACCGCGTGGCCACCAGCACGAGGGGGCTGCCAACAGGAGCCAGACCCCTCTGCACCAGCACATCTGACCCCAGCAAACCCCACAGCACTCCAATGTGATGTCAGCAAACCCCACAGCACTCCAGTGTGATCCCAACAAACCCCACAGCCCCTCCAATATGATGTCAGCAAACCCCACAGCCCCTCCAATGTGATGTCAGCAAACCCCACAGCACTCCAGTGTGATCCCAACAAACCCCACAGCCCCTCCAATGTGATGTCAGCAAACCCCACAGCACTCCAATGTGATGTCAGCAAACCCCACAGCCCCTCCAATGTGATGTCAGCAAACCCCACAGCCCCTCCAATGTGATGTCAGCAAACCCCACAGCACTCCAATGTGATGTCAGCAAACCCCACAGCCCCTCCAATGTGATATCAGCAAACCCCACAGCACTCCAGTGTGATCCCAACAAACCCCACAGCACTCCCATGTGATGTCAGCAAACCCCAAAGCACTCCAATGTGATCCCAACAAACCCCACAGCCCCTCCAATGTGATCCCAACAAACCCCACAGTCCCTCCAATGTGATATCAGCAATTCCCACAGCCCCTCCAGTGTGATCCCAGCAAACCCCACAGCTCCTCCAGCAGCACTTCCTGCCAGGTTAAAGTCAAACACAACAAGTTATACATAAATTCAAG